TTTCAGAGATTTGAATAAAGCATGTCCCAAAGATGAATTTCTACTACCCATACTAGAGTTGATGGTAGACTTTCCTTCTTCACATGCTCTATTTTCATTTATGGATGGTTCTGCAAGTTACATCTAGATTAAGATGGCTTCCATGGATGAGAAGCAGACAACATTTAGAACACCTATTAGAAAATTTTGTTATAAGGTCATGTCATGGTGTCAATTACCAATGAACCATGACTAAGATCTTTGGTGAACTCATAGACAAGCAGGTCAAATAATATGTGGATGACTTGGTTATCAAAAGTAAAGAAAAGAAAAACCATTTATATGACTTAAGAAATGTATTTGAAAGATTATGTCTCTATAATCTTAAGATGAATCCCTTAAAATTCACATTTGGCATAACTTTGGGGAAATTTTTAGGATTTGTATAATGACATAGCGAAACTAAGATAAATCCAAGAAGATCAAGGCGATTAGAAATTTCATCCTTTAAAACCTTAACTCAATCAAGGTCACTTCAAGCTAAGTTGACATATCTGAGACTCTTTATCTCAAATTCTGGAAGATTTTATCTGATCTCCACATTAACCAAGAAAATGCCAAATTTATTTTGCGTGAAAAATGCCACAAGAATTTAAAAATATAAAACCATATTTAGCAACACCTCCTATATTAGAGACACCAATTCCCAAGTGACTACTAATATTGTACACTGCTACTTTAGATGAGTTTCTTGACATCTTATTAGCTCAAGTTAATGAAGAAGGGAATATGAACTCATTATACTACTTGAGTCCTTGATTGATACTAGTAGAAATGAACTATACTCTGATTGAAAAGTGTTGTTTAGCATTAGATGTTGCAGTCCAAAAGTTAAGACACTACATTTTATCTCATAAAATCAGTCTCATTACTAAAATTCAACCAGTTTTAATACTTGATGACTCTCCCGACACTGTCTGGGAGGTTAGCAAGATGGTCAATGGTCTTGTTGCAGTTTCATGTAACTTATGTATTCTCACATGCCATTAAAGGACAAGTTTTAGCAGACTTCCTTGCAGTAGAACTGTTACATATAGAATCTTCTCTTAATGTTGATCTTACTGAAGAACAATTCTTGAGTCTTGAATGGGAAGGTCAAACATGTTGGGAACTTTATTTTGATGGAGCATCGTCCTCTAGAAAAGATGTAAATTCACATGAAACTATTTCTAGCAAAGTAGTGGTTGTATTAATACTCAGTACTCTTGATTAAGGAATGTTAAGATTTGCATATAACTTGTCAGAAGCATGTACTAAAAATGAAGTAGAATATGAAGCCCTGATCATTGGTTTACACTTAGCAATCACCATGGAAATAAAAAACATATAGATTTTAGGAGACTCAAAACTCATGATTAACCAAATTCCTGGAAAATATCAAACATTGAAGCTTAAACTCTATCGATATAATCAATACACCATGAAATTACTTGAACAAGTACTAGATATAACATCATACGGAATACCTCGTTGAAGTAACACGATTATAGATGTTTTAGCAAAATTGGCTAAAGAGATGGTTTTTTTTTTAAGAAAACTTTATTGCAATCGAATTCCATGGTTAATAAGGTTTTTCCCCTATTGATATGGATTATCTAAGTAAACCAGACTCTGAAAAGCATGTCATTAAAACAAAACATAAAGAACAAGACTCAAATTGGCAAAATCCCTCCATAGAATACCTCTCTGAAAATAGACTTCCTAAAGATAAATTACTCGCTCATAACATAAAGTTAAGGGCTTTATTTTTTACCCTCTTAAATGGTGCATTTTATCGAATATCCTTTGATATTATGTGGCTACGATGTTTAACCAAATAAGAAGCCTTGATGATTGTTAAAGAAGTACTCTAGATTCTTTGTTGCCCACCTGTCAGGTTCTAAGATGAAAGAAAAAATTAAAAGAATGGGATATTACTAGCCAAAAATGATCAGTGATTGCATGGAGATTGCTAAGTGTTGCTACCAATGTCAAATACACAACATAGTCTTACATCAACACCCTAGTGTACTACATCCAATGAATGTCTCATAGCCCTTTGAATGTTGGGTCGCATACATTATAGAACCTACCGATCCTCCCTCATCAAACAGACATAGGTTTATATTAGTTGCCACAAATGATTTTTCTAAATGGGTAAAGGTTATACCCATAAAAGAAGTTAAAGCTCATCATGTACTCCAATTCTTCAAGGATTGTGTTGTATGTAGATTTAGAATCCCTCTTCGGATCATATATGATAATGGTCATTCTTTAAAAAATATGAAGATCAATAATTTTGTGACTCGACACAATATTGATTGTCATTACTCAATCATCTATTATACTTTAGCCAATGGACTAGTAGAATCTTTCAATAAAACACGTGTTCAAATTTTGAAGAAGATGTTGGATCAGAATGACAATGACATGAACAAGTGATAGAAGCATTATGGGCCTAATAAATATCGTGAACTCCAAAAGCTCTCCCAATATCTTTACCTTCTACAAGAAGTGTTATTCAACAGTTGTTCGTATGAGCCTTTGGCTAAAACTGCATGAGAAATGGATGGGATCTTGGTCTTCGATGTCCAAAATTTCTTGTAAAACTCCAAAGATGGAATCTTAAACTTCATCAGAGACTCAACTTCACAATTTCTCTTGAGAAGGGTTCTTCGATTGTCTCTATCTCCTTATTTCTTCCTCATGAATATCTTGATAAAATATTTGTCTTCTTCATCTTTCTTCTTATATAGAGTCTGCAGCAAGTTCTTCTTTTTTTGAACTCTCAAATTTGCCCATGTGTAATCTTTATAGCTCAAAAAGTGGGTCAAGTGCTCTTCTTACTCTGGCTCTTAAAAAGCCATGGGCATGTGACACTTGGCTGGGCTATCCCAACCATGGTTGTTCCTGATGCAGCGTACCTTCTACTCTCAATAGATCTTGAACATGGGTCACTTATCTTGATGATCCAGTGTATGTTGGTCAAATAATGGTTTCAAGATGCTTCCCTCATGTCCTGCATTTCATTTCTCATCATTTCTCTCAATTTGTTGATTTGATGAGTTACAAAATCTTTGTTAAAGTCCATCGTTCTTGTATGGCATTTTTCTAGTGCGATGGGTCTTTCTTGATAAGTTTGTATTAGAACTCTACGCTCACCGCACCTCTCAGGATATTGAATTCTTTTTAGGAAATAGGGTTTTATATCATTCACGAGTACATACAACCCGATAATAAACCCTGTATCACATAGAGGATGCTAGTGAGAGGGATAAATGAGATTTTTTTTACGGGATCGTAAGAAATGTATTAATTTATGATCTTTGTTATATCGGAAGGAGGTGACTCCTCAAAAGTTCCCCGATTTACAAGATGAGAGAGAGATCTAAAGATAGAATTTTTTTAATGGGAGAGGAAGGAGATCCCTTTTCTCCTTTTTCTCCCCCCTTATATGTATGAGAGAGAAACCAAAAATAATAAGTGTAATGTGTATTTGTATTTAAATGATGCCTTGCTATGGCATCTTGATGGAAATCATGTGATGTCGATGCTATGTGTTGCCGGCTAATATTACATATAGCTGATATGCCAGCCATCCTCAGTAAATAGGTGAAGGAAATGAGTATTCAAGGTCAAGCATTGTCTTTAATAAGTGATTGAAATATTTCCTTATCAGTCATGATAGCTTCCTTGAATTGCGACCCTCTTATAGTTAGTCAAGGTTTTTTTTTTTCAAGGCGAGAGTGATCGAATCAGTGCATCAACAAGTGAGCTTGATTCTGCCACCTGTAGGTGTGTTTGATTCAGCTAGTTTTACTGTTAGGCTTGATTCAACCATTTTAGCTGATGGGCTCAATTCAGCCACTTCGATAGGTGAGTTCTATTCAGCCACTTCAAGCCATCTTGATAGGTGAGTTTGATTCAACCAATTCGACGGGTGGGCTCAATTCAACAAGAGAATTTTTTGGTGAAAACTCTTGTATACCCATATTTGTGTGCTCATTACAATATTCCTTTTTACACTAAATACATAAAAAGTGGTGTTGGAGTTCTTAAATACATAAAATGTGAAACAAAGTTAATGCATCCATTTGAGCTTACGTCCTCTTCAAGTTTGCACTCAAACGGCGGGCTAGCGGTAGGATATGCTTAAAAGGAGATGTTCGCATGACTAAGCAATTGACTCGTCAGACTTGTGTCCAAGCGGAACGGAAGTGGTGTTGTTCATGTTGGCAAAAAAAAAAGGTAGCCAGCATGTAATAATGAAGAATGGGGCTGAAAAGGTTCCCAACATGGGAGAGGAAGAGGAGAAGAAAATGGGAATAAAACTGGAGAACTGTGTTATTCTCCAAAATTTAACCAAGTCTCTCAAAATCCCTTAAAAGCAATCAGGTGCCTCAATCTCCATTTCGAGCTGCTCTCTGTCAAAGCCAAGAAGAAACCACTGCATTTTTTTCATTTCATTCAATCCAAATCATCTCTTTTTTTGAAAATGATGAGATAGAGCTCAGGGAATCACAAATAGGCATGAGCCTACCAAGAGCGAATCACTAAAAGGAATGAGAAGAAATTTTACCACTTAAAGCATGGGATTCTTTTTCTTATGTTTGCATTACAAACAACAAGAAAACCAAAGGCTTCAATTTCTTGGAGAATGAACACTGAAGAAGACAGAAGCAAGAACGGACGAGAGCCAGAGTGTTTAACCCATAATATTAAAGATTTGTGTCTGGAATACATAAACAACTTTGTTTCGCATCCTATGTATGTAAGAATCCATTAGTTTTTCATCAAATTTTAATGTTCCTTTTCATTTTCCATGTCAATTCATTTCTATATCTCACCATTAACCAAAAAAAGCCTATTAAAATTCAATCCTTTACATGAAGATCAAATACATAGTTTTTATACACACTAAAAATTAACCAAAAAAAAATGTAAATAGTTGCTTTTTTCTTTGCACTAATCACAAATGGGGACAGATTTCAAATTTTCACATCCCAACGGCGCAGTAATTTACAACAAAAGAAAAAAAAGAGGCTAGATTTGACAAAGGGCAAAATTAAGCTATGCACATCTCTTCTTTTTCTTAAACCTAAGCCTGGGACAAATCTCCCTTCTTTCTTCTAAGCCCACCAAAAACACCAAACCTGATGTTGCCTCCCCTCCTCTCCGGCACTTCAGCTATCCTCTCCAACTTCGGTCTCCATTGCCGCGACTTCCACCCCACAAGCTGCTCGTATTCCTTTTCCAAAGCCACCGTCGTACACACGACCCCGCCCCTTTTGGCTTCCTCCCCCCCTTTCTCCCCAATCCGTATCTGCAACCTCCCCGTGTCCGTAAGCTGTATGTCGAAATGCCTAAGACACCCCCCACCACCCTTAGCAAGCGAGGAAGCTATAGTCACAAAGGAAAGCACAGACTGAAAAAACTGGCTTGGAAGAAGGAAGTAGCTGTGACCCAGCTGAAGCTCCTCAGCTGCGGACAGCGCAGGCACCTTCTGACCAATGTAGAAGGAATCCGAGCGGCAGACGAGGTGACACGTGTGCTCCTTCATAAGATCCCCCACCTTGACTCGCCGTTTGTACACCGTCACCCGCCCGTCCAGCCCAATAAGCCTCGCCGTCGATTGGCCGGACGGCGGAGTTGCAGAAGGGAGCTTCCGTTCATCTGGGTTGAAGCACCAGAAAAGCATCTGCAGGCTCAGAAACTTCAGCCCCATAGCGTACCAGAAGTTTTGAGAGGTGAGGGAGAGTATTAATTGGTGGCCTCCTTTTATATTTTGGCTTATGGACGGGCTAAGCAATAGTGGAAAGCCGGGCTCATTTTCATAAAAAATCAAAAAATTAAAAAAGGTGCGATTCGACCCGACCGTGTTATAGGAATATTTTCTTCATTATTCATGTATTATTGATATATTAATAAATAACACATCAATAACATAATAAAAACACAAAAAATATTATGAGATGAATATCACATTAATAACACACCAATAACACATGAATAATGAGAAAAATATGAAGAATAACACGAGAGAATATTTGGTCAGGTCGCAGCTCGTTTTCAATTTTATTTTTATTTTTTATGCAGATGGACCTCAATTTTTCACGTATCAGCTCGAAATTAGACTCCACAAATAACTCTATGTATTTCCAGAAACTTCAGCCCCCACAACGTATCAGAAGTTTTGAGAGGTGGGGGGGGGGAGATTATTTGGTTGGGCTCGTTTTATATTTTAGCTTATGGATGGACTAAACAAAACTTTATTTGAAATTAAATAATTTTCAAAAAATTTAAAAAATTTTAAAAAATTGTTTGGCTCGTGATGCGGTCGGTAGTGAATGGAGATTTGACATTTTTATTTGTCATTTTGTCAGCTTTTATGGTTATATAGTTTTATAGGGAGCTGTCGCAAGTCTCGAGGTTAACTGCTTTTTTTAAAATAAAATATAAATTATATGTTGGTCCTAATAATTTATGAGGATTTATAAAAATACCATTCAAAATATTATAATTTACTTATTTAATATTACAAACATATGCTTTAATATCAAACATTCTAAATACATAAATATAACAAAAACTTCGTATTTAGTCATTCTACTTCATCCTTGAGGCCTATAACTCCATTTTTCATCGATCAAATTTTCGTACTTTTTCATTTTCATCAGTCAAATTTTCAAACTTACTATCCCTCTTTCTCTGTTCAATCTATTAACGCAAGTGGAGCATCTCGACTCCTCTTGCCTCAAGCCTCGACCTATTCACTTTATGTCTCTATATATTATGGCACACCACGTGTGAAATTAATTTATGCGGATTGACGGTATTGTGGCCTTCAGAGGAATAATGTGATCATGCAGATTGTTAGTTGTGAGCGAGTTAGATGGGCCGTAAATTGAGTGATAGGAAGTTATATTTTTTATTATATTTATGAATTTAGGATGTTAGGTATGTTAATGTTGTATTTAGAGAGTTGTGTTAATGTTGTTTTTGGAGTGTTAGTATGTAAGTAGTAATATTTTGGAAGGCATGTAAATGTCCTTATGTCTGTTTCATGAAAAGCAGTTTATCCTGAAACGCGGCCCGTGAGTCGACTACGGCCTGCGTTTAGTGTAAAAACGGAACCGAGTTTTCGGATAAGTGGGCAAAACACGCGATCCAAATGTTACCACGGTTTTTTCAAAAAATGCCCCTGCACCTATAAGCCCTTAATGGAGTTTTGATTTGATATGATTGATAATTATATCTATTATGAAGTTGATTTAGAACATGTATTATTCCATCTAAGAAATTTATTTTCATTCTATGTCAAATGTGGTGATTAACATGTGAGAATTGAGATTCATCACTTCAATATAAATAGAATCTACTTCATTCAATTTCAAGAATGCATTTTTTTAAAAAAAATTAATTTTTAAATTTGTGGAAATAAATAAAATCTCATCAAAATATTTATTTGAAGAAAAATAATGTTGAATATATGAAATATATTAGTGTGATGAATCCTACTAAAAAACTTATCTAAAATTATATTTTTGCCATTGAACAAACTAAACTTGTGGTGGTTTAATAATAATTTTGAATTATATAGATTTGATTGCTCCTTTGGAAGTTATACAAATTTTCATTCATTTATATAATGAGCAAACTATCATATTATATTTGAGATTCATAACTGCAATATAATTTACTTCATTTAAATTATTATTGCCTTTTTTCAGGTGTTAATTTCTAAATTAGAAAAATAAATAAATAAAATTTCATTGACTTCATTTTTTAGAAATAAAAAATTGAATGTGCTAAAATATTAACTTGGATAATTTGTTATTATTTCAGTTTATAAAGATTTGATTGCTCCAATTGAAATTATAGAAATGAGAGTAGATTTCAATAAAAGTAGAATATCGTTAATTAAAGAAAAAAAAAAAAATTATGAACATTTTCTTCTTCAGAAAAAAAAAAAATATGAACATTTTCTTCTTCAGATTTAAATTAGAATTGAGCCTTAATAACAACTAGGTTAGAAATTTGTTGAATCTAAAAGTGTCCGGAAAACACACCCAAAGGGGAGTTTTCTTCTATGGGCGGAGGATTAAAGGGCTTTAGTGAGAATTTTGTTTCTTACACCACCTCTGACTGGAACTGACTTTTGGGTATGCAGCTTGAGCCATGCCATTTGTATTTCTTTTGTAGTTTTCAGGGCTCTAGTGATCGTTTCCATCTCTTTAGACACCAAGGTCGACCCTGAGGGCGATGCGGCTGTTGTTGACCAATTCACTGAGGAAGGAGTGGATACTGTGGAGTAGGTTGTTGTGGGATAGGGGACCATGGGGCCAGACGCCATGGAACTGGGCCTTGTGGCTTAGCTGATTGGGGAAAATTCTCCCCCTAAAGGTGGCCATAGTGTGGGCAGTCAAGTCCCAGTGCAATGAGAGAGAATGAGGCGCTTGGCGGACGTCGGGTGTCTGCTGACTTTTTGGTGCGCCGTCTTACAGAAATGAAGGAGTGCTTCCTTTGTTTCATGGCACATCCTCGGTGGGATAACACAAATGGGGTTGTTGAGGTCCTATAGAGGGTTGAATTAGTAGAGAAAGAAGTTGTTGCACGTCGTGAAGAGCATGCTGCTTTTCAAGGGAAGATGCATACTGATCGCGGGGAGATAGCGCGACTATGTCTGGAGCTAACGGTTGTCAGAGAGGGTTTCACCGCCAAGCCGAGGGATGGTCAGAATGATTTATTTAAGGTGGGTGGCTATATTATGTATGAGTTGCTGCGCTAACGAGGATTTGTCTCGGACAAAGCCATGGGAGACCGTTTAGTTAGGTTTTTCAAAGGTCTCGATTTTTTTTGTAGTGAATGTGGAAATAATTCAGAGCCTCTACCTTTTCGACCCTTCCATCCAACTTCGGTCGGCAACCAACCATGAGCGAGCGATGGGTCAATTTTTCTTCGACTTGACTTTTTTACAAAAACCAGTTCAAAATGAGTCTTCAGCTGTCATTCTGTATGGAGTTGTGGTCGATTTTCAAACGATACAAGGTTGTTTCTGCTCAGGTTCTTCTTAATTCTACTGCTGCCATTATGACATTCGTCATCTTTTATCAAAGTATGAAGATCCCTTGATCGACTGACTTATTCAATCATTTTTTCTCTTTCAAAATTGTTCAGCACAGTTACATTCAATTTGTTGTCAGCTCCTAGATCCCTTTAGTGGATCTTGAGAATAAGATAAAAGATTGGCATCTTAGTGGAATGTGAGGTAAAGAAGATGAAAATTCTTCCTAGAAACCTCATGGATCATAAAGCGCTAATCCAATTCCTTTTGTTTTTCCAATATCTTGATCCGAGTGTAAGAGAGTGTATGATTTGCCCCAACGATACTAAAGTCATGATCAAAGTGCTTTGGGCATCATATGATACTCGGGAAGTGGCAAGGGAGAAATCTACTGAGAAGAGGGTGGCTTCGAAGAAGCCACAAGGGAGAGTCGACCCTTCTTTATCTGGTAGAGGTGAGGATCGGTCCAGCCCATTCAGATCAACCAAGGAAGATGTCGAAGGTGAGAGTCGACCCTTCATTTTGGTTGTAGGTATATATGGACACGTAGCTACATAGTTGTGTTATTTTGAAGGGAGTAGCGAGAATGTCTTCAGAACCTTGTCTGCACCATATTAGGAGGTTTCATGTGTCTGTCTATTGATCGTCGAAGTTTCCACTACGACTCATAGTGGGACCTCGTTCATGGTCCTTCACTATCAAGTGGAGGCAAGTCGCTCCTCCCATCTCATCTCAATAGGGACTGGGTCAGAGGGAGAAATAAGGGTCTTTGAGGGTGTGGAGGGAGATATTCCCCAAATAAAAGGGTAGGCCACCATTTCAAGGACTGAGTTGCCTCATCCTCTAAAGAGTGGAGCTTCCACTCGAGTGATCCTTTTCTTATGACCGAGGGGCTGGAGTTTAGACAAGCGGTCTTTATGTTCTTCTTGATAGACAGATTGAGTGATAGCCTTTTACCCCTTTTACTGGGAACCACCCATCGACTTTGATGGGAACTTTTTGGTTGTCTACCTTCGCGAAGCACTTAAGAATGATGGACATAAAAGATATGTATCAGGCTATCAATTGATATCATGTACATAGGTGGGAGGCCTTTCTTGGGCCATATTGAAGAAAAAGTTGAGATGAATGCTCTACGGATACAGAAGTTCAGACGAAGAGCCACCATGGTTGAGGAAAGGTTGAAACTGTCTATGGAGCAGAGAGAGTAGGATGTTCAAGAACATGAGACTCGAGTGAAAAACCTTCTCAAGGAGAAAGAAGAATTGAAAAAAGAAGGTCTCCTTGATGATGACTCGAGAAGAGTATGTTGAGGTCCTCTCCCGTCAGATTGTGGTTGACACCTCACTTATCAATGAAAGATTTGTAAGACATGGATTAGTGGACCCTAAGTGGTGGGACATGGAGGAGTTCACCTTGTTGCTTTCAAATTCAGAGGATGGAGAGTAGAAGTCGTCGAACGGAAAGTCAAACGACACTGGACGATCTAAGGAAACTAGGGAAGGGGTGTTGGGGAATCTTTGAATGTATAGAGCTGATGGGTGATTTATTTTTGTTTCCTTCTGTTTTGGTGTTTATATGTGCCTGTATGAAAGCTTTGTGATTCAGTTTTTATAAAAAAAAAAAGTTTGTGATGTGATGGATTTTTTTGAAACCGAAGGGTTTGACATTGA